TGATGAACAAATCGATCAAATAATGGTCGAATTAATTGATCTAAAAAATTTGGAAATTTTCGTTGTTGCAGCATGTATAGTGTTGATAATAGGTCGAAGTGGTGTTTCTTTCTAAATAGACAATTTTTTTTTTTTTAGTTGTAATGATGGATATGTTATGTAATCTAAGCTTATATTGTTTAATTACTTTATGTGATTTAGGAAGAAAATACATGTAAGCTAGTTGTGTCTTTTCACGGACAGGTACCATGTTCATACGCTGATATTCTGCAATTTTTGACATTGTTTTTAATTGATTTAGTGCATGAGTAACATTGTAAATAGTTTCATTAAATGGATTGACATTTAATTCTTCGTAAGCACCTGTATCTTGTCGATATTTAGTAGCTTTTTGTTTATAATCAATGGCATAACCAATATGAAATACACTACTTTTATCTGTTTGACGAAGAATAAGTTTATATTTCTTTAATTTTCGCTGAATAGATTTGCCAAGTTTTAATTCTCGTCGAGCACGTAATTGATCAATCAACGGTAATGGAGTCATATAACGCTGAAGAAGATAAGTTCGAAGACGATCTGAATACATGTTATATAATGGTGATGTTAATGGTAATTTTCCTGGATCTTTGAGATTACTCATATATTTCTTTATCCTGTTCATATTAGTATCAAATTCTGTGTTAATCTGTTTCTGTCGTTGTTTATACGGACGAAGTACACTTTGATTTGGTCTAATATAATTTGGACCTAAAATAATACAACAATCATAAGCCGTATAAGAAGATATGAAAAGAAGAAAGAAAAAAATAATAATTAATATAACCTCGGGAAAGATAATCCAATTCATTGGAAGTAAATGGATGTCGAATAAGATCAAGAATAATTTTCGGACGAACATTGACAGTTTCCTTTTTCGATTTCAAATATCGCTGACGATGACGTAATAATTTTCTTCGATAGACTAGTATTTTTTCAGCATAAATCTCTCTTTTTATTCGATTCGTTCGATGATTTATATAGTTAATACAAGAAGTAAAGAGAGTTATATA